AAGCAGGTATAGGAAAAGTGCTTTCTCGTCTAGAAGCGTAGCGAGAAAGATTGAAAAAAGGAAGTTATCTGAGAGCTTCGGAGCTTTCGCCTTGCCGTTGCTTTCGCGATTGCGACCTAAACGCGCACGGTTTTCCTAAAAACGTCGACGAGCGTGTACCTCGCTCGACGAGTACGCGGCGCCCGGTGCGTACGCGCTGGTCCGACCAAACATACCGACTCGTCGAAAACGGAAATTGCTTTTCTTCTTCCGCGACGGTCCAATTCTTCGTTGCGTTTCGCGATACCGATCGTTGTCTCGGGTCGTTGTATCGACAGTAATATCTCCCCGACAACATCGTTCGTCGAACGTAACAGCAATAACAACAATGTTAAATATAATAATAATAATAATAATAATGATAATAATGATAATAATGATTATGATAATAATAGTAATAATAATAATAATGATAACAAATAACATCGCCATCACGAATGAAACCCAGGACCGCATAAGGATAAATAAAATGCTCGATCGGTTAATAATAATAATAATAATAATAATAATAATAATAATAATAATAATAATAAATATAATAAATATCGATGACAATAATAAATAATGTTGCAAACGTTGCTGATAATAATCATAATTAAATAATAATAATAATAATAAAAATAAAAATAAAAATAATAATAATAATAATAATACTGACAACAATTCGCAAGAAGAAAGAGAAAAATCAAATATAAATAAAACGTAAGCTACGCGTATGTAATCTTTTATCGCATAGGCCGTGGTCGCTTAACGAACAATCGATCCGTACCTAATACCTAAGAAAAAAATCGAGCGAAGGTCGGTGGTGTCGAGATGTTCGATCGAAGCGAAGCGAACGAACCGGAAGCGAGCTTGGTCGTTCTTTACGCTTTCTTACGCTTCGGTTGTAACTTTTTTCTATTTCGCTAATCGTAATTGTAATTAAACGAATGCGCGTCAAACGGTGCACTTCGTTCTCTCGTTTCTACGTTTCTACGTTTCTCCTTTAACGTCGTTCGTTCTCTTACTCGTTCGCTCACTCTCTCTCTCTCTCTCTCTCTCTCTCTCTCTCTCTCTCTCTCTTTCTTTCTCTTGAAATTCGCACCGATATACTAATTTAACTTTGTTAATTACTTAATATTGCTTAGGGATTTATTGCTCTACGTTTGCACACGATCGCAGCGTCGGGAAATACGTGAAACAAACGTCGCCAACGGCCGGACTAGAGAAAAGCGTCTTTCTCTCTCACACTCACACACACGCGCACGCACGCACGCACGCACACACACACACACACACACACACACACACACGCACGCACGCACGCATACACACTCTTTCTCTCTCTCCCATTCTCGCTCACGGCGTGAAAAATCGTAGCGAATCCTTGAGATCCGTCTCGAAGGATCGCGAAGATCCACGGACGCCGTACGCAAAGCATCGCGATCGTGACACGTTCTGCCATGTTCTCTCCCGTCTTTTTTTTTTTATCGTTTTGTTGGTTTTATCTTGGCGGTGAGGTCGGCTACTCTGTACATGCAACGCGGCAATTATTTGTCGGCAAATCGTTATTACAAAAGGACTCGTCGGATCGTCCGGCATCGGTCCACGATCTTCCGTAACTCTCTCGCGCGAACCAACTGCTCGTCGGACTTTCTTTCTCGTCGAATAACATCGTGCTATTGTTGTCTGTAGAAAGCGGCGAGGGTTGCACCGGGGTTCGATTCTTCGGTTCGTTCCGTGCTTCTATCGCTTTCGAACGCGCACCGTTTCGTTGGTCGAAGGGTTTCTCGGTACGATCGAGAGGAAATCGCGTTTAATAAGTTACGGTGAACGGCGTTCGAAACCGATACGATCGATTCGTTGAACTCTCTCTCTCTCTATCTATCGCGTCGAAGCTTCGTTCAGACTTCGAACGAAGACGGTTCGTTTACGGAAACGTCTATTCGATCGAAGCGGGTTCGTCCAGTTTCGGGTGTAAAAGTAGGGAAACGCGAAAGTTTGTTCGCTTCGTCTACCGGAAGCCTGTCCCGAACGAAAGAGCAGCCGAACTCTTTTGCCGGTGGTCGCGCTAAAATCTTGGCGAAAACCTACCAAATTGCTTTCGGGTGTACACGGTTCGAGGCTACGAAGTCCATCGAACGATGGACGATCTAAAAAGAAGCGAACGGAATTACAGAAATTTGAAGCAACCGATATTGCTCGACCACCCGATAGATAAAGCGTTAAAGATCGATCTCGCGGTACTCGCGAAATCAGAAGTACATACGAGATGCTAACCTCGCCGAACGAAGCTCTCGAAAGGGCACTTGAAATTTCGTTGTATGTAGAATTATCAAAAATCTCGCAGCTATCGTAATTATGAAACGAGTGGAGCAAATTTCTACAACGATCGATCGGATCGACGAACGATATCGAAGTCGAAGAAGCGAACCGAAGAGCGCGCCGTCCTCGAAAAAGACGTCCGAAATTGCGTCGCGCGAGTCGGGCCGGAAGCACGTGGCCGCGAAACGATCGCGAAAAAAAAGGATTTCCGTGCCGAAGCAAATCGTCGTTTCCCTATCACGTTAAACTTCGATGTCCGCCTCTATATGTATAATTATATAATTCGTTGTGTCGAAACATTGCTTTTTGACCGTACGGGCCGTCGTTATTAATGTGTTTTTTAGTTTTTATTTTCCCTTACTCGTTATATCGCTTCTATAAAATATGTGTATAACAATATTACGCGTCTATTAGTCGAAATCTGATCTAGATATTACTCTGTGTGTAGGTGTGCGTGTGGGTGCGCGTGTGTTCGCGTTCGCGCGTGGCTGCGCGTCGACGCGTGTAAACCTGTAGCGACGGTGTTCGAATTGTGAGTGTCCGATGTACGTGTACGTTTTTCTGCGTGTAAATACGATCGGGAGTGTAATTTAAATACGCGCGCGTCTTTGGTTTCTTCGCGTCCGCGCGTCCGCGCGTCCAAGCTCGCGGGTAGCGCTCGACCTCGTCGCGTCCGACGCGAAAGAAAGATGACTACGTCCGGCGGAAGCGATACTTTTTTTTTGTTTTTAGAAAAACTATCGTACTCTTCCATAGAAAATTACTATATCCCGGTGGACGAGGGACGATTCGGGGGATCGGAGCTACTCTCGGACCCTTGGCTATTCTTACGGTAAATAAATAGTCGTGCGAGACCAAAACGGAGGCCCTTGCGCACCTTCTTTCCTTCTCTCCTTTCCTGTACAACGCCACGTCGTCTTACAAAATACGTTCTCGTAATTTCCAGCGGCTGCTGGTTCCACGGACAGAACATTTTTAAGGTATACCCGCAACGTAGCTCTCCGACTGTGCTTTGTATAATTCGACTTTCAACCTAGTAGAGGAGTAGAGGAGTCTTGCCAACTTCGCGCCTATCTTCGAAGCCCTCCGAGTCGGTAACCGTGAAACACCGTGACCGAAAGTATCGGTATCCTCGTCGCCCGGCTCCGGCTCGAACCCCGACTCCGATTCTATTCTAACGCTAACCGTGTACGTGTAAGCCGCGTCGGCTGCCTCGCGAGTACACCCGGCTCTATAAATTCCCCATGGAAACAAACTCGCCCGCCTCGTTTATCCGGAAAGGGAACCATCCCTCGTCCATCGCGACGAAAAGTAGACGCGACGCTTTTGTCTTCGGAACGCGAGAACTTTCACGATCGGCTCCGCGAATGGCGTCGATCGTCCACGCGTCGCGTCGCGATCCCGGTCGATTATAATTCCGACTCGTCGGAGAGGAACACGCGAGAGGATCGTCGCGGACTCTGAGACGATCCACGTCCACGAGCCACGAGGTGCGGAAGCGACGGAGTCGACGGCGATCGCCGTGCGTCCCGGTCGCACGGTCCTGACGGGAGATGTACCGTTCGACGCGACGACTAAGATGTCCGCGTATCTTCCGGCCGGAAGTCTCGTTCCCCTAACCGCGGAGCCACCTAGCTCCCAATTATTGTATCTCGAATCCGCGATCGTCGCGACCTGCTTGCCTACGTTCGCGGAGAGAATCTCCCCCCCCCCTGCCCCCACCCCCCAAACCATTGCATCGGTCATCTTATCCGCGGAGAGTCGTGCTTCTTCGTCGCTTTAGGCAGCTAAGTATTAATAAATAGTGTCTCCGTAACGAGCTCGCGACTAGAACCGTACGCGCTAGTAAATATATATATACTATATATATATAATAATAATATAATATATAATATAATAATATAATATCATAATGTAATAGGTATAATCGACTAGAGTGACTAGACTGCAGTGTGGACGTCACCGTTCGACGCGTCTCTCTCCCATTTCGTTTTCTCGTTTCTCACTCTTTTCTTCGAGAAACCGTTTATCGTTCGAATCATCCTCGTCTCTATTTTCTATCGTTCGTCTCCCGTTTACTTTTTTCTCGTTTTCTTTTCGTTTGCTTCGATTTAAGACTTAAACATTACTGGACGTTTTTGTTAATGTTAGACATTATTTAAGAAACCGATACCACCACCTCTTCTCTACTCTCATCGATCATAATCACCGTCGTTGCGTTATTCCGCATCATCAAAATCATCATCATCATCATCATCATCATCATCATCATTATCAGCAGCATCATTATCATCATCATCATCATCATCGTCGTCGTCGTTATCATCATCATAATTATCATCATTATCATTATCATCATCATCATCATCATCATCACCACCACCATCATCATCATCATCATCATCATCATCGTCGTCTTCATCATCATCATCATCATCATCGTCATCATCATCATCATCATCATCATCAGCATCATCATCATCATCATCATCATCGTCGTCTTCATCATCATCATCATCATCATCGTCATCATCATCATCATCATCATCATCAGCATCATCATCATCATCATCATCATCGTCATCATCATCATCATCATCATCATCACCATCATCATCATCATCATCATCATCATCATCATCATCGTCATTATCATCATCATCATCATCATCATCGTCATCATCATCATCATCATCATCATCGTCATCATCATCGATCCACTTCCGCGATCGTGTATTACCGTTTTCTTTTGTTTTCATTTTTGTTTTGCTACGCGTCATATCATTCTCTACTGGCACTTTTCTACTTAAAACCTACGGGCAAACCTTTTCGTATATCCGGATCGTTCCCGAATTCCCCCGACAGCTTAAAACTTTATCCGGGCGTCGCCAGATGCGAGCGCTAGCTTTCCGAAACGAACACCGCGGCGCTGGCGTCGTCGGGACGCCCGACGACATTCGGCGGCGCTGCGTAGCGCTGCTACAAGTCGCAGTTCGAGTTCTGTTGATGTTGCGTCGCACTTTGTTGTTGCTGCTGCTGCTGTTGGCCGGGGATCTCGTCGTCGCGAAGGCAGGCGGACTCCAGATGCTTGTTCAGGTAGGACTTGAGCGCGAAGGTCTTGTGACAGCGAGAGCACTCGTAGTTCTTGTCCGCGGAGTGGGTCTGCATGTGGGCCCGCAGATTCGACCTGTCCGCGAACGCCTTGCCGCAGTGGGCGCACCCGTACGGCTTCTCGCCCGTGTGACTGCGCAGATGACCTTGCAGCAGCCACGGCCTGGAGAACATCTTGCCGCAGACGCCGCAGCTGTGGGCCAGCTTGTGGGTCAGCACGTGCATCGCGAGGGCGGGCATGCTGACGTACGCCTTGCCGCAGTGGATGCACTTCTTCGCCGATTGGGAGTCCAAGCTGCGGTGAGTCTGCTTGTGCCGGGACAGGTTCGACGAGGTCGCGTACTGTTTGCCGCACTCCGTGCACGTGAACTTGGGCCTGTCGGGTTGCGCAGCTTCCTTGTCCGGGACGGCGGCGCCGTTCGTGCTCGTGCTGCGACGTTTCGACCGGCCGTCGGACACGAAGAACGCCTCGTACGTGTACGCGACCGTCTTGCTGCCGTTGCCGCCGTTGCCGCCGTTGCCGCCGCTGCCGGTTAAGAAGATCGGTAAGACGGGATTGATCGTTTTCCGGGCTCCGGAAAGTTCGGAGATTCGTGGTCCGAGGACGAGGTTTCGGGAAATTAACTAGCGATAGGCCGATCATGCGACAGATCAACGCAACAACATCCACCATAGCCAGATACCATAGAAACGCGATCGACGGTCTCGAAACAACATCCAGCAAGCAAGATTGTACATCGAAGCAACGGTAGCGTCACATCGAACATTGGTTCGGGGGTAAACGGGCTTTCCGTGTAGCGCACAGTGGTCGATTTTGAGACACCCGGCGCGCGAGTAATTCCAAAGCGAGAAAAGCGACCCGCGTCGACTGCGACGCGTTTGCTGTAAGAATAGAATAGAACAATAAGAATAGAATAATATTCTATCGAAAGATTTCGGTCGAGTCCGAAAGATTGGCGCCCCCGACTTCGGTTTCCAAGAGCGACCACCGTGTCTCGAGATTGCCCGCGCGATCGGTGAGCAAACAGGGATCGGTGGTACTCTCGCGCTGCAGAAGTTGCGAGCCGCGATCGACGAGCTCGCGGCTACTCACCCGTCCCTACCGGTGCTGCCGTTGAGGTTCGCGTTGACCTCCGCGGTCGCGGGAGACCGAGGCTGCGGCGTCTGCTGCTCCTGCTGCCTCGGCTGGCCGGTGGGCTGCGAGCCGGGCACCGGTACCAGCACGGAGACCGGGATGGGCTGGGCCGCCGGCGCCGATTGCAGTTGCGTCGGCTGCAGCTGGCCCGCCGCCGTTACCGCCACCGCCACCGCCACCGCCACCGCGCCGGGCTGCGGGACCGCTGCCGGCAGCGGCGGTGGCGGAGGCGGCGGCGGCGGAGGCGGCGCCGGCGGCGGAGGCGACAGCGTGTGGATGAAGACGGAGTGAGTGGGCGCCGCCGGGGACGCGCTCAGATCTAGAATGGCCTGCGCCGCCGACAGATCCTCCTCGGCCGAAGTCCGGATCTCCGAGGTCGGCTGCAGGCTGTACGGCCGGTAGATGTCCTTCTTCTTCGGCGGCAGCGACAGGGCCGTGCCGGTGCTGGTGAAGCACATCGCGAGACTCTTGCGGGGCGGCAGGCCGAGCGAGGTGGACGACGGCGACGACGACGCTGTCGCGGTTGGATGGGCCTGGTGCAAGCTGGAGCCGGTTACCACCGCGGCCAGATCTTGGGGAGCTGCCGGCTGCGGCTGCTGCTGCTGCTGCTGCGGCGGCGGCGGCGGCGGCGGTGGAGGCGACGGAACCACCGGTCGGGCCAACTCCGCCGCCGAGCGCAGAGTCGCGTACTTTGGCGGCTCTTCATGGTTGATCCAGGCCTCGTGCGTGTAACCTGCAACGGGAACACGAAGACGATCGTTAGTCGGGAGAACCGGTTTGACGCTGTAACGAAGAAATACGCGACCCGATACGGATTGGTGCGGTAGAACCTCGAAAGTTGCGCGAGACCGAGCCGAGAATGCATGCGAGAGGTTCGCGCAATTACCGAGGCAATCGATCGGCCGAGACCTCCGACCACGTATACGTAGAGATACCGCGCGTACTCCTACAGTTTTGCTCGACGAACGGTGTTATAGATCCGATACGACCGTTACGACGGCTACGATAAAATAAAAAGCCACGTTCCGCCTCGCAGCCTCGTTTTTCATTTCGCTCGTACGCCGAACGAGGGAAAGATGGAAGCGCGGCGAACGTTTGTAAGCGATTGCCGGAATGCACTGTCCCGAGGAGAGTTCGAGGATCCACGGATCGACGATCCGACAGGTTGAAAAGTCGCGTCCGAGTTGGATCGTCGAGGTCGGAGGCGGCTGTTCGACGAACGATAAAAAATAGAAACCGTTGAAAGTTCAAGCCATTCTCCGAAATTATTGTAACGTTATAAATCGTATCGTGTGCGAACAATTCGGTAGAACGGCGCTCGTTGACTCGGTTCGTTCGACGAAACGGTTCGGCCTCTGTCGAGCCTAAAATTAGATCCGAATATTAATCGGTCGGATGCGCGCGTTGGGGATGGTTCGACGGGAAATTCGAAGCCGATCGGAGGCTGTTAATGGGTAACGCGAATCAACGATTCTGGCAATCGAGGGATCGAAGATCGGATTATCGGCCGGTCGCGTGCCAAATTTTTAGCGGTTCGGTCATTTTCGACGGCGGCGAACTCGCCGTGGTTCAATTTCCTCCCCTCGTTACCACCCGAAACGCGGAAAATCTGCTGATCCGCATCGCGAGTGGTCCTGTCGGGTCGAACAATGGAGGATTCTCGACCGGTTTCTAACGAGTGTATCGATCGGAGTTCCTTCGCCGTCCTCGTGCACAAAAGCAACAAGGACTTCCGGCTTCGGTGTTTCGCCGAGGCTCGGCGCTCTCCGGTCGTCGGGATTGTCGCGCTCGCGACTCGAGACTCGAGATTCGCGAAGCACAGCCGACGGTCGGACGACGGGGACGACGGGGACGACGGGGACGACGGGGACGACGGAAGCCAGAAATTGCGGGACGGGGGATGCTGGCTGCTGCGAGGGAGCGAGAAGGAAATTGCTCGGCCGGGTAATTTCTCCTTTCTCGTATTCCTATTCGTATTCGTATTCGTACATCTACGCGTATACATATACGTATACGTATTCGAGGCTCGGGGTTCGCAACAATGCGAACCGTCGCGTTAGATTGTCGCAGCGGACGGTATCGATCGCATCCGGTTGGAAGTTGGCGGTTGGGAGTTGGGAGTTGGGAGTTGGGAGTTGGGAGTTGGGAGTTGGGAGTTGGGAGTTGGGAGTTGGGCGTTGGGAGTTGGGAGTTGCCAGTTGAAAGGCAACGAGGCATCGAAGGCTGACCGTGTCGCGTGGTCGAGAGCAATAAAAACGGCAACTGGCTCGGCCGGTTAAACAATTTAAGCGCGGCGAGGCGCGTCACGCGAGAGGAAACCGACGGAATCGAAAATACTCGATACCGAGCAAAGTCCCTCCGCCGACGTTGGGCCGCCAGACCCGATCGGCCGACCGTTCGACCGGTCCCTCCGGTCGACGGTTCGAGGAAAGTTCGAAGGTCGAGCCAGGACCGGGCCGATTCGCTTCTGTTGAACGGGAACGGCAACGACAACGGCAACGGGAACAATTAATTAGTACCGCGGGCCGAGTGTCCGCTTCGGGCAGAGTTCCCCAACTGTTTCGGGAAATTGCTTTCGCAACTACCGGCCCGGTAATTGTTCCCCGTCTCTCCCACTTTCTCATTTGTTCGGGCAACGTTCGGATATCGGCGAATCGACGCGCGCGTCCGAAAAATTGCTCGCTCCCGACGGATTCCTTCGCGAATTCCTGCGAACTGGCCGACCCGCCTCGCGGGCCACGGGCCTCGGTCTCGCCGACTTCGCGTCTTCGTCGCGCCTTCGTTCGCGCGTTCGCGTCGGCAACCGAACCGGCCACTTTAGGTGTTTCCCAGCGCAGATCGAAGCTGTTAACGATCGGTGGAAGACCTCTGTCGGTTCCCAAAGACCCTCCGGTGACCTTCCACGCAATTCGAAGGGCTTCCCTATTTCTTTGGGGGCTCTCTGTGGCCCTCGAACGTCTCCGATCCCTTCTCGGGGATATTCGGGAACTCCGAAACAACGGTTATATCGCCGATAGACTCAACATATTTTTCAATAGATTTTTTCGTTTCGAAACGAACGCGTATTGGGTTCTTGAGGCGTTCAGTTTTGCGGTTCAAAAGATAGCCGGGCGCGAAGCAACGCTAGGTGCGGCGAGGCGAGGCCGGACGAGGCCGAACAAGGCGAAACAAAAGAAAGCCGTCTTCCGTCGGAGTCGAAACAAAGACTTCTAAAGGAATAACCACGAATGTAATTTCCCTCGCCGTTCGTGTTCCCTACATCCACGAAAGAATGGATTCAACGTACAAAACATCAAGACCGTGGCTCGGAGACGCGCGTCAGAGGCGGATCGTTGCGCGAATTGTTGCATCTTCGCGTTCGCAATCGATTCGGTAAAAACCGAAACGAGAAAGAAACTTCTTTCGTTGGCCAAAATACTCGTCTATTTTTCTACTCGTACTATTTCTTTTTTTTACGTCACGTACACGGTACTCTATATTCCAAAAATATGTCCGCTTCGCATTTCATTCTAGAAACGTTCTTTTCTTTCGAAATTCGACCAAAACTGTTTTCCAAGATTCCTGCTCTTCTCGGAAAATAGATTCGACCGTTTCACATCGAACGACTTCGTCTCGTAGAAGAGACCGCGAGCAGCGGTCGATAACGCGATCGGAATATTCCTCGGAGTCTTTTCCATCGGTCCACGTTGGCCCGCTTCGCCGCGTCCCCAGGAAATGAAAAATTCAATTTGTTCGAGCATCGAACGGCCGCGAAGACGAAGCACGGTGGAAAAGTCGCGACGAGAAGCCGATCGAGCGATCGCGAGGACGCCTGGGACGCGTTCGTTGCGAACGGAGAACGGGCTGCGCAACAGTTACCCCACGCTATATTATACAGAAGCCTTTTTACCCTCTCGGTTTTTCGACCCCGTCGTTTTCTCGTTAACAGCGGCACATGGTGGAAGCAGCTGGCGTGTGTCGGCACCAGGAAATGAAAACGGCGCACCGGTTCCGTCTGATTCACGAATTCAAATATTCATGGCAAGACTGTCGACAGAGAGAGAGAGAGAGAGAGGGGGGGGGGGAGCGAACAGCAGCAACCAGCTGACAGCGCGCGAGGGGAAGAAACGTTGCGTTATTGGCGCCCTTTAATTTTCGTCGCGCTGGAACGTTCCGTTCCACTCGAGAAAATGCTCCGGTATAATTAAAGATCGTCGCGCTGCCACTCGACCGGCCATTGTTTCCCGCATCGATATTACGGTCGACCCCTCCGGTAAATCAAGTTCCGCCAACCGGAATTTTTGTTGCGAATTTTTGTTTCATTCGCAGCTGCGACACGCTAAAAAAATCTTCGCTCGCATACGTACAACGAGTCGGACACCGGTAGGCGAACGTTCTATTCGCGGATCGTTGCAAAAATTAACGCGCGGAAGTTCGATACGAACAACGGCGTTAACGAACCGATCGTTCGACGTACAAAAATCGGCGCTTCCGCGGTCCGCGCATCCGTCCCGCGTATCCGTGTATCTGTATCCGTATCCGAGCGTATCGACGTCGACGCGGCGAATGCGGAACGCGGGGAACGACGGGCAAGGTTTTCGAACGTTTCGCGCGAACGCGGAGGAAATTTGATAAATATTCCGACACTTGGAACGAACGCACCGCCGCTCGACCCACAGGCACGAATTCGCGAAATTCCCATCGACGGCATCGGCGCGACGCGCCGCCGAAAATGCCGCGCGTCGGGTGTCGAGAGCTTCTTTCGATTTGCACGGATCAAACGAGAACGTTGTTTACCGGCCGGTGCAACGAGACCGTGGCTTTTAATTACGCGCGGGTTGTTCCAGCGGATCGAAACGAGGCGAGAAGCCCTTCGCGTTACGGATACGCGCGCAGTTAACAACCTCCGTCGAACGTTCTTCGTTGCCGATGTTTTCCTATCGAGTGCTTTTCGTTCGATCGTTCGAGAGAGAAAATCGGCTTTGATTCGGTTTACTTCGGTGATCGAAGTAACCGAACCAAGATCGATCGGCCGATCGATTTTCGTTGAAACGAAACGTATTCGCCTGTTCGGACTCGCGAGCTTCGAGACCGAGAACCGAAGCGAGAAAACGAGGAGACCGGCGGTCGTCGCGCGGTCGTCGCGCGATCGATCGCGAGTCGTTCGTCGACGATCGCCGTGCCGGTTTCAGCGGACGCTCGTCGACGCTGGTCGTCGCTGGTCGTCGCTGATCGGCGGTGGTTGGCGCCGGTCGGCGCTTGCGTCCTCGTCCTCGTCCTCGTCCTCGGAGATAGTCGGAACGCTGTTGCTTGTCGCTCGGACGCCGGAATCGTAGGTAATGCTCCCATGAATATGGAACGAAGCCGGTTAATCGCGTAATACTGTTGCTGCTTTTGTTCGAGGTTTGTCGCCGATCACCGTTATGAATTATGTATGGGTCGTTTCGGTGATTTCGACGTTTCGGACCGCGCCGGACCGACTTGTTGCCCGTGTCCGGAACGCGCGTTTCGATGGAATTCCGACGGGACGACGAAACCTTTCTCGAATCGAAGCCCGAACGCCTCGCACTCGTCGAAGACGAGCTTTCCCGAAAAGGACTCGGCTCGCTCGCTGCAACTCGAACGAATATGTCGCGAATCTTTCCGCGAAGAAAACGTCGAATCGCATCGATCGGACGAACCAACGGCCGCTCGGGGATTTCGTTGATCGAAGATGGAAACGATAGACCGAAGATCCGCGAGAGTCTCCGGCGCCTGGAGAATCTCCAGGATCTAGGGAGGCGAGCAGTCGTCGATCGCCGATCGCACCTGTTCCGAGGAGGACCCTGGGATCCCGAAGATGGACGTTCCCTCGTCTCGGCCGAAGGCGTTCCGGATCCGACGAATCGCGGCATACAGCTACGCCTACGCTTACACCTACGCGTACGTATGTTCGCCGGTCGTAGGATTCGAGGCTCGTGGGACGCGTGACGGCAATAAATCAGAAAACTGTTCCGGCGATCGATCAGCCGGCGCGCATCTATTATTGGCTGAAATAAAAGGGAGTCGACGTCGACGCATAGAGGGAAAGGAGAGTGGCCGTGTCTGGAAGTGCATTTCATCAACGCGAGAGGGACCGGAGGGACCGGAGGAACGGGAGCAGAGAGAGAGAGAGAGAGAGAGAGAGAGGATGGGCGAGGGTGGTCCGGAGAGGGGGTAGACAAAGGGAGGCAGCAGGGGAGAGGGTGAGAATCAATAATGTCGAATGAACGCTCCGCACGCTCCCACGAGTCTGTTGATTCTAGCCTTTGAAAGGCCGATGTAAGGTCCTTTGCCATTGTTATTCGTCGATCGGTTCCGACCGCGATCGAACCCGATCCGTCGCCGCTCCCTCGGCGAGCCCTCCTCCGCCGATATCTCTTAAACGGAGCCAAGCCGACGCGCCGCACCGCGCCGCACCGCGCCGCGCCGGTGCAATAACATGTGCGGAATATGCAGAATATGCAGATGCTGCACCGCCGACCGTGGTAACGCGACGCCGCGCGACACGCCGGCGAACCTTCTTCTTCTTCTTCCTCTTGTTCGCCGTCGCCTTCGAGTTCGTCTTCGTCTTTTTCTAGTACGCGAGCCGGCGCGCGCGTTTTCCGCGGACCGCCGATTGGCCGATCGCGAGAAAGCAACGCGTCGATGGACCGTGTAAAAAGATAATCTAACCTTACGGGAAAAATCAAAATATCAAAATTGCATTCTCATTGAAATTCCAAGTCCGATCGTGGATATCGTGGACCACGGTTTCGAATCGAATCGTTCGGCGCGAAAAATATTCGAAAACGATCGAGTCGCGCGGAACCCGACCGAACGACGAAGGGTTACGTGACCGCTACACGAGGAAAATGCAATTCGTTGTTCACGATGGAATTACGGCAAAAGGAAGCCGTTTAATCGATGCCGCCCCGTCGTTACATATTTTCGACCTGAATTCTGATCGCCTCGCGACGACTCCTACGCCGGTGGCTCGACGTCGATAACGAGCAAAATAAAAAGGACACGAACGAAACGCTTTTACGAACGACCGAAACCTCGCGAACTTTGAAACGCGGTCGTTCCTTTTAATTCGGGCACGGCTGTAAAAGCATCGATCGCGATAAACATTTATCGAACGCGATAAATATTTGAAAAGAAACTGCGACCATCGGATAAATTGGCCAAATTTACGGAAGATCGAAGAATTCGAGGAGCCTGCGGCACGATCGTTTCGATAAATTCGAACGCGACGAACGTTCGACCGAACTCGCGAACTCCGACGCGAGAAAAATTAAAGAAACCGGAACGGAATAGCGGAGCGAGGTTCGACGGAACGTAGAAACCGCGACGGGGTTAAAAGTTTGAAGAAAAAGTAAGAGAAACGGGAAAGACGATGGTTCGAGTGCCGCGTAATTTCGCGAAAGGGCGTAGAATCTCGTCGTCGGCGAGGCGATTCGCGGAACGTGCGCGCGAACGGGCGGCTAAACACGGTCGGGCGAACAAGTTGCTGTAATTTTCATAAGTTCGATCCGCGCTTCGCGTCGCCGCGCGTCGCCTGGCGTCGCCTGGCGTCGCCCAACGTCGACCACGCTGTCGCAGAGGCGCACGTGTTACATAACAGTTCGCGCCATGTTAAAGACCCGGCACGGTCGGGCGTTACAATCGATAACGAAATTCAATTAACAGCTGGATTCGCGCGGTTTTCGCAGTAATTCGCTCGCTTACGCGTTTGGTTCACGTGCGCCCGGTTACGTAACGTTCTCCTATAATTATCAGCTGCGCGTGTTCGTAGTTCATAGTTCGTAGTTCGTAGTTCGTAGTTCGTAGTTCGTAGTTCGTAGTTCGTAGTTCGTACGCGGAGCCTTCTATCGACGAAAGCGGATGGCGATTACGTTGGCCGAGGCTCGAGAGGCCCGAGGCTGCGCGGCGTTCGCGAAACCAACGAATCGACGCGATAAATTGCCGGAGATAACGATCTTTTTAGAACGTCCTCTTATCAATTTACAAGCCCGCGCGGTTTCTTAAATCATGCTCGAACCGATAGCGCCGCGTCGGTCGAGGTCGAGCCGCGCGACGTATACGTGTATACGTATAAGTACAGTGTACGATGTACGGGGACGTAAATCAACTTGTGGAGCGTATTCAACACGTAAATACTCGCAGGTAGCGACGATCGAGTGCGAACCGTGGGACGTTACCTGTCGCATTTTTCGAATCTCGTTCTCGTTCAGTCGTTTCTTCGACGATCGCGCGAGCTCGTCGTTAACGGATCGTTGTCGGGCATTTTCATAGAAGAAACGGTTGGAACGGTCGAACGAAAGACGTTCGAACGTTTTTACTTCGCACACCTCGCGACGCGATCAATTCCGTTTTACTCGGGAGTTTGCTCGTTCGAGTTTCCGTGCCGCGGAGAAGCGGAAGATTCTCGCCCGTCGAGCGACTCGTTTTCCTCGAAAGAGTCTACGAAAATCAAAGAAATTTGTCGGAAAATCTTGTAGCGCCCGGATCGCGACGCGACGCTATACTCCCGGCAAAATAAAGCGCAAAGATCGCCGCGAAGCTTACTCTCGGGGCTCGATTCGAGCTCTCGCCATTGTTCGCGACGAAGCGAAAATTCCGCTCGTTGAGCGCAAAATAAACTGGCTCCGGTAAGCTCTACCGGCTCTACGGCTGCGACTAAAAGCGTCGCCGAAAATCTCGGCGCTTTTTGGCATCGCTGCTGAAAGCAGTCGCCGGTGCGCGGCAGCACTCCAGAGGAACTTGACCCAAATGCCAGAGAAATCTGTTTCCAAACGCGGCGGCGGGCATCTTGGCGCATCGATACCGGTCGCCGCCGAGCGTCGAGCGCCGAGCCCCGACCACGCGAAAGCCTGCCTGTCCCTGGGGAGAGCTCGGCCACCAACCGATCCGGAAGCCCCTAAAATCGCTCTCGAGCCTCGAAGCCTCGAAGCCGCGAAGCCTCGAAGCCTCGAAGCGTCCAACAGCTCCGCGGAGGAGCCCCTCCCGCGCTAATCGGCCGCGACGCGACGGCTCGAGCGGCCGCGTGCAACAGCCTCCGATGGTCGCCGCGCGTGCCCGACGCGCCGAACAAAAACTGCGTTTTCGCGACGCTTAGCGACGCCGGCGAGCCTCGGGGCCGTTCGGTGTCCGAATTTCCGCGTTCCGGTTCGCGAGAAGAGAAATTGCTGGGTAAAAGGCTGGCCGACCGGCTGGCTGGCCGCTCCGTGCGCGCGAGCGGGGTGACCCAAATGGAACGTGGAAAAGAGACGCGCGGAGCGGAAAAGAGAGAGAGAGAGAGAGAGAGAGAGAGAGAGAGATATCCTCCCCTTTCGCTTCGATCCGCCCAAAGATCCGCAATAAAATCAACGATCGGGTCTGCGACGGGTGTGTCGCGCGCGGCTCTTCGTGGTCGACGCGTTCGCCCCGTGCGTGTGCGCCACGCATGGCCGGAATTCGCATGGCCGGAACGAGGAAAATCATTAACCCGGCCCGAAAGGAGACGTTATCCGGCGAGCGTCCCCATGGGGCGGCTGGCTGCCGCGTTATCGCGCCGACTACCGCAATTTCTCTATAGCACAGCCGATCGGCCAATCGGCGGGTGTGTCAGCCCCGTGGCTCGACGCATGGCCAGACTCTCTCCCCGACTGCTGGCTGCTGGCTGCTGGCTGCTGCTGCTGGCTGCCGCTGGCGGCCGCTGGCTCGACTCTTTTTTCCGAATAGCCGCGCGAGAACCGTCAGGGCGTGGCGCCTAGGACCGGTGTCTATCGACGTCTAGTTCGGGGGATGCCAGCGTCGATCGTTTCGACGACCGCGATCTCGGATATTCTACAGGTTTTCGGTGGCAGCCGATGCTCGGGTCCACGTGGGGAATACGACGAGGACCGTACGCGCGCAGGGTGTTGGTCGAGAGAGAGCCACCGTTGTCGCTACCGTAACCGTAACCGTTATCGTTACAGTTACCGTTACCGTTACCGTTACCGTCGTCGTCGACGGGCACGCTACTCACCGTGGTAGTACAGCGCTCCGGAGGCGTTGAGGGGCGGCGGACTGGGCGCAGTGGCCCCGGCGGTCGGGCTGTGCGGGCCCCAACAGGTCTGCTGATGATCGACCTGCCTGCTGTCGGTGTCGCCGACCACGTCGATCTCCTCGTCCTCCGGCTCATGCCTGTGCTGCCTCTTCTCGAGGCTGCCCGACCCCTGCATCTCGTGCACCACCACGCCGTTGGTCGCGTGCTCCTGCATGCTCAGGCCGGACGGATCGGTCTCCTCGTCCTGGGTGTCGTCGACGCGGTCCGGCCACGGGTAGGCCTTCCATTTTTTGGCCATGAGGCAGCGCGGCATGCTGACCGACGACCGCGACTTCTTCTCCCCGCAGCTGCTGCTGCTGCTGCTGACGATGACGCTGGTTGTCGACGTCCGGCGATTCCGTCGAGGTCCGATCGATCACCGGGGGGCGACGATCGACCGACGATCCTCTCGACGACGACGACGACGACGACGACGACGACGAGAAGCTATCCTCGTCCCGCTCCTCCTCGGCTACCACAGCACTGCTAGCAACACCCTCACGAACCGCACCAACGAACGCACCACCGTACCGATTAGCCGCGACGTCGATCCCGGTGACGTCGAGGATCGCGACGAGGCCGCCTAGCCGGCCGCCACCGGTGCAGCGACGCCGCCGTCTCCGTCGCCGCCGTCCGTCGTCGCTGCCCAGCCCCGCGCCTGTCGCCAACCACCTCCTCCTGGTTACCTCGCGGACCGAAGCGGACGATGCCCGCCGGCTGCTGCACGGCTTCCGCGTCGACCTGCCTTTCTCACGATCGGTCGCGATCTGCAGCCTCGTCATCGGCACGGCGAGGGCAGCTCCTTCGTAGGATGCACCGCCACCATGCCAGCCTCCGACCGCGTCGACCGACCACCCTCCTCCGCCGGAACCACCCCAGTTGCTTTCTCTACCCTATTCGCTTCGAGCGAAATCTTCTACCGCTACGGAACTAGTTTTACGCTTTTTCTACTTGCTGTCTATCGCCGATTTTCCCTCTTGCGTCTCTCGCCTTCCGCCTTCCGCCTTCCGCTTCCGTCTTTAACTTTTCTCTCTCTCCCTCTCTCTCTCTCTCTCTATATATATATATATATATATGTATATGTATATATATCTCGCTTCGATTCCGTTCTCCCTCTTGCAGGTGGGTTATTTCGAGTTTCGAGTTTCGAGCCTATTGCCTCCCCTCTCCGATCACCGATTAGTCCACGAGCTGCACCAAGTGGACCGACCGACTGACTGACTGACCGTCCGTCTTTCCTGCTGTCCGTCCGTCCGTCCGTCCGTCTGTCCGGATACTCTGGTCGCTCCCTGTCGCGGCTCTCGCCAGTGACAGGGGGTGCCCTCGAATACGATCACGACGTCGGGGTGCGACTGTTTGGTCGGTGGCGCTGCCGGTCCGCTGCTCGACCCCTACTCCGACCGGGCGCGCTCTCTCCGGTCCTCTTCCCTCCACGACGATTCTCGTCGGCCCTCGTCGAACCTCGCCCCGTTTCAGTCCAACCGCCGCAGAGCCGGGAACCCCCGTCGTCCCGCCGCTGCGGCTCCCCTTGAGTCAGCATTCTGGGGTGGCGCTGCTGTTGCCGTCATCGTCGCTGCCTCCGCCTCTGCCTCTACCGCCGCCGCCGCCGCCGCCGCCACCGCCGCCGATGGTTTATGCTGGAGGAGCAAGGGATGGCTGCGGCGCAACCCCTCGAGGCTGCCGATGGTAGTTCTCGATTCCTGCAGGCCTTTTGATTCGATGCGTTCGCTCGGTCGCGCGCGCGGACACACGGTTTCGAGATGCCGCTGTGTGCACGCGCGGCCATTGGCGTAGCTGCCCGTTGGCTCCGGATCAACCGGCGTGTACCAACGGCCGTCGTCCCATTGTTGCGCAACGAGCACGCCGTTGTTGGCTCCTGGCAGCGACACCCGGTACCTTTAACCCCTGCCGATCCATCCGCGTATCGATTCCACGCCGAAAATTTCTCCGGCCCCCGAGCGACGCCCGTCGACGCCCGTCGACGCCACTGCGGGGGTGTGTGCCGGCGGAAACGAACGCGGACGCGGATCGAGACTCCTACGGTCCGAGGGAACCAGCGATTCCCGAGTAAAGCGTTCTCGAGGAATATATCTCTCTCCCTTTCTTTCGCTGATTTACGCGCGGATCGTAAATCCGGGAAATCTAGCGACGTTCCAGGCTGCCGAACCTGGGACGAGAGGAGCATGGCGCGAGCGCGGGCACGTGTTGGAGCAAAACGTTGGCGATACGGTAGCTCCGTCGTCGGGACAGGCCGCGTCGAAAGTAGACGTCGCGGTCGGAAGAGGGAGAACAGCTGGCTAGGGTGCCACGGGCACCGGCCTCGTTCCTGGCCCCGGCCACGGCAATAGCAACGGCAACGGCAACGGGAACGGCAACGGCAACGAGTACGTAAACGTCCGAGAAGAGAGGAGTGGCGACGAGACGAGCGGAGGGGAGAGGAGGGGCGAAGCCGGGGGCCGATGGTAATTCCAATTCCTATGGAAGATTGGCTGCATAGCGGTGACGCTGTGTCGCCGATACGCGACTCGACGCGAACTTGTTGGTTGGGCGACGTCGGTGTTGGTGCAGGCCGATAGGGGAGAGTCGCGCGCGCGGCTCGTCGGGGCGAACGCCGTTGCGAACGCCGTTGCGAACGCCGTTGCGAACGCCGTTGCGCTCGCTGTACAGGGTGTACTCGGCCGTCCGTCTCTGTCTCTCTAACTCCCCTTTTGCGAAAAGGGGGAAGGTCGAGGGTGGAGGAGCCAGAAACGAGAATGTCGGCTAGGCGGAGGGACGCGATGGTCCGCGAGGGCCGCGGGGGGGGGGCGCGATTCGGCTCGTCGAGCGGCGAGCGGCGCGTGCGCCGAGCCTCGGCATCGACCCGACGCGCGACGTCTAGGGAACACCTGGTAGCGCCCCACGTGCCACGTTAGGGTGGCACCAGCCACCCCGCGCACGCGATCCCTCGTATCGAATATCACGCTGGCCTTCCTGTCCCGTCCTGCCCTGTCCTGTCCACTGACCCACGCCAACCGTGCCTTTCAACGTTCTCTCTCTCTCTCTCTCTCTCTCTCTCTCGTTTCACACGCATACGCGCTTTCTCTCGTTATCCAACCATCGCATCGGTCTCTTTCCATCTCTCTCGACGAGAAAACTCCTAATGGAACGGACGAATCCGGACCGTCGCTCGTCGCTCGTCGCTTTCTCTAATAGCGAACGCGGCCCTCCGCTACGGGACGCGCGCCTCTCGCGTATACACGGTACACCGTATACGACAATTTGTAGCATCCGACCAGAAACATACCGGGTAGTCCGTGGAAAATGGAAACGGTCGGCAGCTTCCGTCGCGTCTGGTTCGTCGAGAGTCGCCGCCGGGACAGGCAAAGACGTCGATGGAATCGAGCGAGCTCTTCTCGCGGAGGGAAGCGAAAATTTATCGCGTCGATTCGCGATAAAATAACCGACGAACGCGAGGAGAACTCGAGTCGCGACTCGCGGACCGATCGGCCGCGCGGCGATGCTTTTGCTTCGAACTGTACCTCCTCGATGGCGGTGTCTACGTACGGTATCTAAATGCACAAACCGTAATCAGATTTATCGTTTCATTTCCATTAATCTACATATCAATGATAAATATCGGAACGGTCCGCGCGGCTCACGCGAGTCGAAGCATGTACGCTGTTACAGGGCGGTCGACGAAGCTGGTCGTGCTTTGCTCGATTAATCGTTTCTCCCGGTGCCCCGCGTAAACCTCGACGAACGCTCGGAAAGACGCGTTATCCGTTTACAAAATTATACGCGTCGAAGCGACGACGCGAACTTCCTCTCCTACGCGAGTCGCGTTCGGACAGCTGTACGAGCAGCGGGAGTCTACGCGCGCGCATCGTCGACCCAGCATTCGCGATTCATTTTTTTCGGCCCTTAAATATTTGATCGCGCGAACGCGGCGACGCGATCGGTGTCGCGATACGGTTTCGTAAGATTTTTATCGGCGAACGGAACACGCGTTCGCGTTCGCGCCGAAGCCTGCTTCTCGTACTGTACGCGCGACAGAAGCGATTAAACTCCGACGAGACGGCACGCGATCGAACGTAACGCGTAAATGTACGACGATCGAAGTCGTCGATCGATCGAAAATAAGCGCAGCGAGGGTCGGAGAAACACCTGTTCGGTACTCGGGACAGATGCTAAAATAAAACGGGGAAGCGGGTTCGAAAAATACGTTTCCGTGCTCCAGGTTCGGCCGGCGGCACGCTGCGGACGAATATCGGACGAATCCGGGCCCACGGAAGATCCGTCCCGGACAGAAATCCAGTTTTTGGAAATACCTGCTTTCGCGGAATCTGTCGATAGGTCGCGGGCCGATGCCGAATTAATCGGCGAGGGAGGACGAGGACGAGGGCGAGGACAGGAACGAGCATGTCGCGGGGACCGCAAGCAGAAACGGTTGCGGGTAACGCGCGTTTCGAACCGCAAGCGATCACCGCAATTTCTGCCGCAACCAAGGAGTTTCCGGGTACCGATCGGGAACCGACAATATCGAAATTGGTTCGGAGCTCCGTTTCGCGGAACAGATGTTTCGCCGCGGGTTCCACGAACCTGCAGTTGCAGCTCCCTTCTCTCTCTCTCTCTCTCTCTCACACACACACACACACACACTCTCTCTCTCTCTCTTTCTCTCCCTCTCGCTCCTTCGGCAGCCTCGGCGTGTCCCATTTGCGGGCCATTGTCGTTCTTCCAGAGGCGTGTAAACTTTCTAAGCGGCGGCCCTCGTAATAACCGCGCGCCATATGACAAAACCGGGCCGCAACAGCTGATGCGTTCGACTCTGCCTCTCAATTTCGGAGATCGATCGATGCAACGCGACGCGCGACGCTCGACGGTGCGTCCCACCGACGATCCAATAACGGTAACGACCAGAGGCACGCTATGGCTCGAAGAACTAATGCGAGCTGCTCGTTCGACAAATCGGTTAACTCCGCGAAACGAACGATGGAGGAGAGCGATCGAATATTATACCTACCGCGCTCGCACGGTACAGGTACCGGGTACACGGTACAGTCTGTCCGAAAATTTCCTTTGAAAATGTGTCAGTGGGTTATAAAATAGCCCGCGAGCCGCGTCCTTTGCCGATATCGCGTACGCGAAGCGTCGTTTTACTCGACGAGACGAACTTTTGTTAACGGTTCGCGACCGTCCGGGACCAAAGGGATCGCCTTCGGCTGGTTTTTCTCGACTACGTAAACGACCTAAAAAAAGCCCGTTCGGAGAAGCGAAAGCAGACGCTTCGCTGTTCGAAACGAGCCAAGGGCGAACCTTCTTCGATTTCTCGCGCGAGGTTGCCGGCCCTGTTTCGATCGTCGCGCACAGATTTTGATCGTGCCCGACGTTTTCGGGGCGACTCTTTTAAACGGTGTTTCTCGAATCGCTCTGCCAGGAATACCGGGCCTCTTCGCGGGCCTTTTTACGAACAGGAGTCGGACGATTCTCGCAAGCCGTAAACCATATTTTTCGGATCGTCCGACGAATATCGGATAGCAACGGACTGCGGGACGAGTCGTCCGACATCGTTCGATCCTCGCGTCTCGCGATTGATAAAAAGAGTCGCGGAACGCGTGCCGAGGATCGATGACGGCTATCATAAATTCACGCGCCTACCGGGTGGTCCCAGTTATTAAGTTGAGCTCGACCCGAAAGGAATAATTCGCTCTCGACGATAGTTCGCGTTGCGCGAGCAGCCGATTCGACTCGATGCGACCGTTGTTCGCATCCTGCGACAAAGTTCCGACCAACGCGTAAACGCGAACCCTGTGCGCCTAAACGTAATAATCCCAACCGATGATCCGTTGGTAGACGCTATCTTTTTTCCGAACCTGTAAAATCGATCGATCGATGCTTCTTGCGATGGAAACGAACAAGCAACGGGAAAATAAGAAAAGCGTAAAAGAGGGAAAGAAGAAACGACGAGGAAGGCGCGGAGAATCGATCGGATGCGAGAGCGAGACGACGTTCGCCTTTAATGACCGTCATCGATCAGCGTAGGCGTNCTCTCTCTCTTTCTCTCCCTCTCGCTCCTTCGGCAGCCTCGGCGTGTCCCATTTGCGGGCCATTGTCGTTCTTCCAGAGGCGTGTAAACTTTCTAAGCGGCGGCCCTCGTAATAACCGCGCGCCATATGACAAAACCGGGCCGCAACAGCTGATGCGTTCGACTCTGCCTCTCAATTTCGGAGATCGATCGATGCAACGCGACGCGCGACGCTCGACGGTGCGTCCCACCGACGATCCAATAACGGTAACGACCAGAGGCACGCTATGGCTCGAAGAACTAATGCGAGCTGCTCGTTCGACAAATCGGTTAACTCCGCGAAACGAACGATGGAGGAGAGCGATCGAATATTATACCTACCGCGCTCGCACGGTACAGGTACCGGGTACACGGTACAGTCTGTCCGAAAATTTCCTTTGAAAATGTGTCAGTGGGTTATAAAATAGCCCGCGAGCCGCGTCCTTTGCCGATATCGCGTACGCGAAGCGTCGTTTTACTCGACGAGACGAACTTTTGTTAACGGTTCGCGACCGTCCGGGACCAAAGGGATCGCCTTCGGCTGGTTTTTCTCGACTACGTAAACGACCTAAAAAAAGCCCGTTCGGAGAAGCGAAAGCAGACGCTTCGCTGTTCGAAACGAGCCAAGGGCGAACCTTCTTCGATTTCTCGCGCGAGGTTGCCGGCCCTGTTTCGATCGTCGCGCACAGATTTTGATCGTGCCCGACGTTTTCGGGGCGACTCTTTTAAACGGTGTTTCTCGAATCGCTCTGCCAGGAATACCGGGCCTCTTCGCGGGCCTTTTTACGAACAGGAGTCGGACGATTCTCGCAAGCCGTAAACCATATTTTTCGGATCGTCCGACGAATATCGGATAGCAACGGACTGCGGGACGAGTCGTCCGACATCGTTCGATCCTCGCGTCTCGCGATTGATAAAAAGAGTCGCGGAACGCGTGCCGAGGATCGATGACGGCTATCATAAATTCACGCGCCTACCGGGTGGTCCCAGTTATTAAGTTGAGCTCGACCCGAAAGGAATAATTCGCTCTCGACGATAGTTCGCGTTGCGCGAGCAGCCGATTCGACTCGATGCGACCGTTGTTCGCATCCTGCGACAA